GATCTTAATTAAATATTAGCTGTAATTAGCCCAAATTGCAAATGTTGGGAATATTAATTAGGGTCTCTCTGGAATGGCTGTCAGTGTTAATAAGTAACTGTGGGAGGTCCCACTAACATCTGTTTGAGGCCTTCAGGAACAGGAGTATAGTCCAGAGCCCCGTGGACCCAAATGCTTGCTACCCATGGGCTCCTGAGTGGCCACGGACACAACCCTAGGGCTCAGTGCCTGGGGTGTGCCAGAACGCACAAGGTTTGGTAGAGGTTGGCAGCCTGTCCCCAGCTGGCCCTTCTCTTTCCTAGGATGGCCTCAGAGCCTCATGAAGCTCTGAGCTTAGATGGCACAAATTTCCCAGGCCTCTGCTCTAACCCTCCCCAGGGGCTGGTCCAGCTACTGGGACACTGGTATTTTTGTCCCACATCCCCCAGCACCTGCCTTCCTGGAGGGTGAGTTGCAGGTCTTGAGGCCACAGGTGTATGTATGACAGAGAGAGGTATGTTTAAAAATGGGAATGAATGTTGCCACCAGCAGATAGCCTTGGCAGATGAGAGATACCCAGGCTGTAGTTCAGCTCCCAGCTTCCCTAAGAGCTGTTGCTGTGACCTTGCAAAATCCGTCCTGGTTCTGGGCTGCAGGGTACTCCACAGCAAAGTACCATGGGATGGAAGATACAGCATGTGCGTGCAGAGCAGGGAATCTGGGTCTGGGCACAGTGAACACTTGGGGCTCGGCCTGTCCCGTGCATTGTAGGGGCTTCAGCACCATCCTTGGCCTGTACCCTCTAGACATCATCGGCAACCTTTCCCCCCACTGTTGGCAACCAAAAGTGTCTGCACACACTGTCAGCTGTCCCCCCGGGAGCGGTCACCCTGTGTAGGAAATACTGATGCAGGGGCACCTGGCTGGTCAGCCGGTTGAGCGTCTGACTTCGGCTCAGGTCATGATCTCGCAGTTTGTGAGATCGAGCTCTGCATCAGGCTGAGTGCTGACAGCTCGGAGCCTGGAGCCTGCTTCGGATTCTGTGTCTCCCTCTCTCTTTGCCCCTCCCTGCTCATTCTCTCTCTGTCTCTCTCAAAAGTAAAATTCACATTAAAATTAATTAACATAACATAACATAACATAACATGTAACATAACATAACATAACATAACATAACATAACATAACATAACATAAAGAAGTACTGATTTAAAGCCCCCAGCACAGTGCCTGGCGCCTTCCAGGCCTGAGAGGAAAGCAGCGTCCATCAGGGTGCCTTCTGAGCACCTGTGAGGAGAGGGATGCCTCTCCCCTGAGCACAGAAGCCTGAGGCCCTCATGGATGTCCCCCTCTGTAGCCCACTGTGCTGAGAGTGAAGCCTGCATGTGTTTGTGCTTAGAGCGCAGACGTGCAGAGATGGAAACCACGTTCTGAAGAAGACTGACTCCTCCATTGGGTGCCATCTTCATAGCTGAGCGTCCCTCCTTGGTTCTAGGGAGAATAGGGAGAATGCACCCCCCTTCACTCTCTCCCGCTTTAACTTCCAGCTTTATTTCCTGCCCAAACTATTTATGCGATGGTGGCTTCTTTTTTTTTTTTTTTAATTTTTTTTTCAACGTTTTTTATTTATTTTTGGGACAGAGAGAGACAGAGCATGAACAGGGGAGGGGCAGAGAGAGAGGGAGACACAGAATCAGAAACAGGCTCCAGGCTCCGAGCCATCAGCCCAGAGCCTGACGCGGGGCTCGAACTCACGGACCGCGAGATCGTGACCTGGCTGAAGTCGGACGCTTAACCGACTGCGCCACCCAGGCGCCCCTGCGATGGTGGCTTCTTAATTGACATCCCCATATTTAGTGATACCTTGACCGCCTTGATTGGAAAACTTTTCTGCAAAGAGCAAGATGGTTAAATAGTTTCGGTTTTGTGGGTCTCTCACAGCTACTCGACCCTGCCGTTATAGCACAATGAACATGGCTGTGTCTCTGTAAAAGTTTATTTACAAAACGACCAGTGGGCCAGATTTGTCTCATGGGTCATTTGCCAACCCCTTTCCTCCTCCCCCCGACCCACCCTATGTCCTGCTGCCAGGCTAAGCTCCACAGAGCCCAAAGTTCATCATTCAAGCATGCATTCACTTAGCAAGTGCTTATAAATGCCTACGTTGTAGCTAGCATGCTGTGGGACCCTGGAGAGGCACTGTAGAATGTGACACTATCCCCAGCCCTTAGGAGTCTCTCCAGTGGCAGCCCTAGGAGTCATGTGAGATGTGGCCACAAGTTCCAGGGGAGCATAGAGGACACACAGATGAAGTGGGCTTGGTGTCAGGGAAATCTGGCTGGAGGACTCGTTCAGGGACCCAAAAGGGCAGTCGAGACTAGCCAGGAAAGGGAGTAGCGAGGGCTTTCCAGGCACAGGGACAGTGAATGGGTAGAGTCGATGGTGTTGAGAGTTGGAGCGCCCGTCAGCTTCCCGAGGGCAGGCTCCTCTCCTCTTGAAGCAGAAAGAGAGCCCAGATCCTAAGATTAAGCCTCTGATGGTTTTTGGAAACCTGGTGGTGGTGGGGGGCGGCGGGGCAGGTCACTCTTCCTGAGATTGCTCTGCCATGCAGAGAGGCCACATGGGCATAGGTGTGGCCATAAAACCGTTTTCTGCTGAAGACACAGGAGGGAAAGCTTTTCTTTATGTGACCATCTCCCTGCCATTGCTGGGCACTTCATGCTCCCCCCTGGGGCCCCCCCTGGAGTTTTCTCAAGTCTGACTTTCATTTCAAACATGCGCCAGATCGAAGGTAGGGGGGAGTGAAACAGGCCTTTGTCCAGAAGTAGAATCTGGCACAATGAATTTCCCTTTGGAGGGTTCTCAAGGTCTGATCAGAGAGAGAAGCATCGCCTGGAATCTGTGTACAGAGGGATATGTTGCTTGAGCAGCCCTGTAGAGTAGAAGGGTGCAAGTTGGCTTATAAACAGGAGAGGATGTTTTTGTTCTTCTTAGTCCAGACTCTTTTGGTTGTAAGTAACATGGAAAAAAAAAACCTATCTTAAACGAAATGAGACATTTACTGATGCGTGGAAGGAAAGCAAACAGTGCTGTTACTAACCACAGGTAGAGCTGGATCCCAGACTTGATATGATGTCGCCAGGACTCAGTTCACTTGTTTCTCAGTTTCTGGGCTCCGTTGTCTGCTGGGTGTGGCTTCTGCTTTAGGTGGTCCGGTTTCAAGGGGCCACCTGGGGACTGAATTGTTTTTATAGCCCTCTGATTAGCCACGGCATCCTGTGTCTGGAGGTAACCTGAGGCAGGTCTCAGCCACATCTGTGCTCTCTGGGCTGAGAGTGGAAGTGTCTCTTAAAAGAAAACCAGGTGCTGTTCTTGAAGAGGAGACAAAAGCACACTGAGCAGCAAGGACCCTGAGTGTCCCCTGTGGCTTCCTGAAGATGGTCAGGGTTAACTCTCCATGGGCAGGGATCCAGCCACAGCGCAGGCAGACCCTGCTCAGCCCCAGACACTAGGAAAAGATGCTAGAAAGCAAGCAATGGCTGTGTATTTCTGCTTCCAGTGGCCCAGGCATTTGGAGCCGTTCGCCTGGGGGAGGAAAGGGCGTGATGGGAATGTTTTCACTTGTAAAATGGTTTAAACTTATCCTAAGCTTCGTTCTCTTCAAAGTGTCATCTTTAACATTCTAATTAAGGTCCCCTCTAAACAAATGCACAGGCTCTGTGCGCTGCTCCGAGAATAAACTTTTTTTTTTCTCCCCTCCTATGTCATAATGTTTTTGCCGCACTCAAGTTGCTTTAGCTGAAGAGGTTCTCAGATGTTGGTGGCGGGGACTGAGGAGATGTGAGCAATCCTGACATTTTTGCCCTAGTATCATTATAGGAGGGCTGAGGTCACATCTAATTGACCACAGACAATGGAAGAGGCAGCTCTTTGGTGTGCTTAATTGCTAAGCTTCTCTCTCTCTGACCGTGCAATCCCATGTCTTGAGACCATGAAAAATTTGGCCCCCTGGGTTACAGTTTCGGATGGTGTGTGTGTGTGTGTGTGTGTGTGTGTGTGTGTGTGTGTGTAGAGTAGTAGAGTTTTAAGGGGAGGGGTGGGGTGGAGAGAGAGAGATATTTCCTGAAATGGAAGCATTTGAATTCAGGTTTTTTTTTTTAATTCTTTTGACTTGACTGTAATTATCACACTGCATGTTTTGCCTAGATTGGAAGGGTGAATTGTTATATAATACTCTGTGCTTATAAAAAAAAAAAAAGACCAAGGCAAGGGGTGGGGGGAGGCATTGACTAATGAGGCTGAGTGAAGTCCAGCATTTTGAAAAGATACTTAAAATGGTGAACACAGTATCACAGAGTGCCATCTTTGTCCAAATTAGGCCTTGACTTTCCATTGGCTGCTTCATATTGGCACCGGGAACATCACACACACACACACACACACACACACACACACACACACACACACACGCACCCTGTGACCATTAAAAGGACCCCTCCATCCCATTATGTGAGCCAAGTCACATAAAACTTTGATTAAATTCAAACGCTTAGATGAATTGTGTCTCTTCTCAAGAACACACACGTTCAATTTAATCTCTCTCTTGGCATTTTAAGTATCAAATCAAGTCTCTGCTGTCACTGGAGACAACTACATGCTCACATGTTCCAAAATGGGGATGAAATAAGGAGGATCTGCCAGAAAAATCCAATCGAGCAGGGCACAGACCCTCCCAGTCCTTGGCTATGGGGCTGGATGGCTTGGGGAATGTGACTTCCCTGCACCTTTCTGAGCCTTGATTTCTGCATCTGCGCAATGGGGTTAGGTCTATAGAAATGACAGGTACTATTTCCTTATAGAGTCTGGTGAAGATTAAGTGGGATGCATCCATCTCAGGCTCTTGGCACAGTGCTGGCACCTGCAAAGTGTCGGGGGAGCGCTCATCCTTGGGCCCCAGGGAGGGGTTCTGCCTGGTTCGCGCTCACGGTGTTTCGCCTTGTCTCCCCCTTTCTGATTTTCCAGGGTAATCAGGAAGCAGCAGCTGCCCCGGACACCATGGCTCAGCCTTACGCTTCGGCCCAGTTTGCTCCCCCCCAGAACGGCATCCCCGCGGAATACACGGCCCCTCATCCCCACCCCGCACCAGAGTACACGGGCCAGACCACCGTCCCGGAGCACACGTTAAACCTGTATCCTCCCGCCCAGACGCACTCCGAGCAGAGCGCAGCGGACACGAGCGCGCAGACCGTGTCCGGCACTGCCACAGTAAGTGGGCGCCGGTCCCGGGGAGGGGGGAGGGGGCAGTGGCGGCCGGGCGCACCCCACCCCACGGAGGCTCCTGCCGCGGAGCAACCCCTGAGCCCGCCCCTGTCGCAGCGGCTCGTGGAATCCACCTGTCTGCAGGCCTCCTCTCATGCTGCTTACTGAAATCAATGCTTTTTTCCTTAACTTTATTCGTGAGGGGAAACTCTCATCTAATTTCTGTTCCCGTTGTTCTCCCTTTTCTTGAATCATGTCCTCTCAGTAGGATTATACACTGCGTGGTTTTTTAAACAGCTTTATGGAGACATAATTTATATACCATAAAATTCACCAGTTTCCGGTGCACAAATCACCGATTCCTAGTGTATTCGCAGAGTTGTGCAACCATTTGGCACAGTCTAATTTCGGAATATTTCTGTCCCCCGGAAAGAGACCTCATGCGTGTTCACAGCTCCTGCCCATGTCGGCCCCTGTCTTCTTCAGCCTCCTTAGCCTTCTTCATGGCTTTGAGATTCACCTGTGTTCTTTTGTGTTTTCTGGGAGCCCTAGGGTGGGGGAGGCCTGGACTGCAAAGGGGAGCGCCAGAGAATTTTGCTAGGCTCATGGAATTTTCTGTGTTTTGATGGTGGCTGTTTGTTTACGTGACTTTATGCACCAAAGAGAGTACATTTCATTGCATGTGAATGCATTCCGGGCATTAAAAGCAAGCCAACAAACAAAAAAGATGCATTTTTTCACCACCATAAGTTAAAAACCACCATTGTTGGCTACTAGTCAAAGATAAGCCTAAAGAAAACTAACTGTTAAAATTAAACACTTGTTCATTTGTGCATGACCTAAAATCACCCCGCATATACCACAAGATGTATCTGCACATTTGAGAGCTTCTGAGGAATTCTTTGCAAGCACACGCCAGGCCTGTAGTCCAGAACATTTTATAGATGGAAGCCGACTGTGCCTCTTTCTCCTGCCCCCAGGCCTCTGAAAACCCAGAACTTGTGGAGGAATTTCTTGGTTTGAAGCAGGAGGGTTTTACGTTTGGAGGCTAGGTTCGGAGATTTTTAAAAATAGCATACACTCTAACATTGTGTGTTGCCTGTCTCCCCTCTTTTAATTGTGGTAAAATACGTCTATGAGGTGAATTTTACCACTTCAGCCAGTTTTGTGTGTATAATTCCGTGGGGCTGAGAAACTCACAGCTCAGTGCAGCCATCACTGTATCTAGTTCCAGAACATTTTCATCTCCCCAGGAGGAAACGCTCTACCCATTAAGCAGACGATCCACATTCCTGCAAATGTGCTTTCTGCCTGTATGGATTTGCCTATTCTAGGCATTTCATAAAAAATGGGATCACACCATGTCCGACCTTTTGTGACTGGCTTCTTTTACTTAATAGAATGTTTTCAGGGTTCATCCACACTGTAGCACGTATCAGTACTTTATTCCCTTCCGTGACTGAATATAATTCCATTTTATGGATATGCCACTCTTGTTTGTACCTCCATTCACTGATGGGCATTTGGGTTGTTTCCACCTTTGGGGTTTTGTGATTAGTGCTGCTATTGCCTGTCTATAGCTGGCTGTTCAAACTTAGGGATGCGTTCATTTAATGGGTTTGCTGGTTTAGCAGGTGTTTGTTACTATTGTGTTGACTACCAGGTTATAGTGATGGTGTTGCCATTTATTTGTTTTGGGTTATTCTGTGACAGTCAACGATGGTAGGGCTTCAGAAGGTTATCTTAGGACTAAAAAAGGGATAATAATGCCCAATACAGACACTATCTATTAAGCCTCAATATACGCCAAGTATACTAACCTGCTGTGGAAGATTCATTCGTTCATGAATATTTTTAAGTATCTACTGTGGCCAGGACTCATCCCAGCGATGTGGTTGAATGGAACAGAAATGATCCTTTCCCTCTTATAACTTTGCATGACAGTCATAGAGTGAGCATGTGTCATTCAGACAGCTTGTATAAACACAAACTGTGATACCTGCTCTTAAGAAAACGACAGGTGCCATGGAGGATAAAGATTATGGGTACTGCCTGCAGATGAGTAGTCTAGGATGATGTCTTTAAGAAGATGTTAAGATGAGAAGACATACTTTCCAGGCAGAAGGAATATCGAGGCCAGTAATGCCAAGGTTGAAAAGATCTTGGCTTATTCAAAGAGTTAAAAAGAGGCCAGGGTGAAGAAGGTTTGGGGGTGCAGTGGCAAAGGATGGAATGGGGCAGTCACCAGGGATCATACCCCACAGGCCTGGTGGATTTGATCAGTGGATAGACTTCCACATTAGGGGCAATGGGGACCGTTGAAAAGAGTTTAAGCCAGAAGAGTTATAAAATGAAATTTTAGAAGGGTTAATGACGCATACCTAAAAAGAGATCTTAGTCCATTTGGGATGTTGTGATGCTCAATGTCCTTCTCTCACAAAAAGAACTCTTTAGAGATCAACACAAAGTTAAACAGGGTGTTGGGTGGCCATAGTGGCCCAGGCACTGCGGCACTGTGAAACAGTGAGCAGGCGCACTCTCCGTTCTATTATGGTTGTAATGTGGCAAACTGTAGAACATAGATGTTTAAGGCTTTAGTGTATTTCTGTGATGGGACACTTGTGGGGGGATGTCCCTCCACATCATGGTTGAAGGAATACACATTTCATAATCTTCTGGTTGCTAGTAACAGAAAATCAGCAGGGAATGTATTGACTTTTACAACAAAAAGTCTTAGAGGTGGGCTGACTTTAGACACAGCTTGGTGTGGGGCACATACGTGTTAGGTTCCAACAAGATCCATTTCAGTCTCTTTTTCTTCCTGCTCAACTACATTCTCTAGTTTTCTGGGATGGTCCCTGCAGCTCCTGACATCATACCACATTCCTAGGGAAAAACCCTTGGGAATCACTCTCTTTCCCTGGTTTGCACAGGGTTGTATTCGTTCAGTGTCTGAAGCTGAGAATGGAGCCACGGAGGAACTCCATAGCCAAATATAGAGACCAAAGATGGGCCTACCAGAGTCAGTGATAAGGTGCTTTAGATCTTCTCACTAGAGGTATTAAACAGAGAATCCGGTCAGAGCCAAGGGTGAGCCATTTGTATGGAGAGGCCAGAGTAGATACATTTGCCGAGTATAGGGAATGAAGAAAAGGGCAGGCAGATCCTTGAAAAACTCATAAGCAGTGAGGTTTGGAAGGCACGGAGCCAAGGGAGACATGAATGGGGTATCCCCTGGGTATGCAGTGTGGAAATTGAACCAGAAGAGTGTTGTCAGGGCAGCCTGGCAGGTGCGAATTCAGAATACGTTACTGAAGTTGCCATCACTGGAGACAGAGAAGAAGCAGTGCCCCTACAGTGTTGGGGAGAGATGCCAGGGGACCGGGAGTGGAGAAATAAATGGGAATGATTGGGGGTAGAGTGCACTATCGTCGTAAGCACTTGGAGTAAAGAGAAAGAAAAGACAACAACTCAGGGGCGTAAGAATTCAGGGAAGCAATTTGTACAAGAATCAATTTCGGATCCTATTTTATGCCAAAGAGAAGGCACCTGTGGGGCCAGGTGGTGGGGACAGGGAACAAGAGCTGGGGAATGATGACTCAGGTGACCAAGGGTGTACAAATAGAGCAGGTGGTCTAGGAAAGAAGAAGACATACTTTTTTATAGCTTTATGAATATATAACTGACATACAATAACCTCTCTGTATTTACAGTGTGAAATTTGATGAGTGTTGACATATGTACAGATGTTGTAACCAACATATCCATCACCCCCAAAGTTTTCTCATACCCCTCTACAATCTTTCCTCCTTGCCCTCTACCTCATTCCCGGGGGAACCCACAGATCTGCTTCTTTCACTCTAGCTTAGTTGTTAATTTCTAGAATTTTATAGCAACAAAATCAAATGTTATGGGTTCTTTTTGCCTGGCTTCTCTTGGGGCTCACCATCATTGCTTTTAGATTCATCTGACTTGTCCCATGTATCAGTAGCTCACTGCTTTTCATTGCTGAGTTGCAAACCATTGCGTGGATGTGCCACAATTTGTCAATCCACTTACTTGTGGATGGGTACCTGGATTGTTTTCAGCTTTGGGCCGCTACAAATGAGGCATCTATGAACATTTGGAAACATTTCAGTTTTGAGACAGAAGAGATGCATCTTAGTCCATTTGGGCTGCTGTAACCAAATCCCACAGACTGTCTTGTAAATAGCGGAAATGTGTTGCTCACAGATCTGGAGGCTGTAAGTCCAAGATCAAGGTGCCAGTGTGGTCCAGTGAGGGCCCCTTCCTGGTTCATAGCCAGTGCCTTCTCCCTGTGTCTTCACATGGTGAAAGAGGCAAGGCAGCTCTCTGGGTCTCCTTTTTAAGAATGCCAATCCCATTCATGAGGGTGCCACCTCATGACCTAATCACCCCCTAAAGCCCCAGCTCCTAACACCATCACTGGGGCTTTAGGATTCCAACATGTGAATAGGGAGAGGCAGGAACATTCAGACCATAGCAAGAAGAAGGAGTGAATGTACCAGCACATGGAGAAATCTTAAGTCAGGAGATCCTGTGAGGAGCTCCTTCTCTGTTGCCTTCGTGTTCTCAGTGACGAAGTCACTATCAGCTGACAGAGAGAAGCAGAGGAGTTGGGGAAGCAATGGATTTATTCCTGAAATTGAGCAAACATGTCAGGAGTTTGGCTCAGATGATTCCTAGAGTATCTGAGGGGCAACAAGTTCCTCTCGGAGCTGACAGAGTGTGAATTTGTGGAGGGTTAGTTACCTGGCCATTTGGTTTTCTCCAGCCATGTTTGGGGTTGGCGGGCGGGGGGCGGGGTGGGGTACATACTGTTGCAGGAAGTTTCAAAGAGGAACCATTATAAACTGAAGCAAGGGGCTTACCCAGCATTGGGGAGGAGCAGGAACATATAAGGGGCCGTCTTGTTTTCTACTAGAAATGATTCCATGCATATGCTTTTCTCTCTTGGCCAGTATGGAAGGTGCTTCTGCTGCCCA